AAAAAAAATGTTTATATATAGGAAGACTATTACAGGAATGAAGCAAACAGTAATTTAGAACACCAATAAGTACCTACTAAATAATACAAAATGATCATCCAAAACCAAATTTGAATAGGTATATCAAAATATTCAGCTTTAAAACAAGAGATTAAAAATGTATGTTCATTAAAATGTGAAAAATTTAAAAATGAATTAATGATAGAAATATTAAAATATTTTTTGAAAAAATTAGTTCTTCGATAAAAGAATATCTAGATTTTTTATTGTATAAATAAGTTCCCCTTTTTTTCCTGCACTCCGAGCAAACTTTGTTATTCTAAACAAAGAAGATAGACAAGTTTCACAATTTTTTGAGACATGATTCAATTATAAGTGGGTGTGTTAACAGGGCCGGCTCAATCAAAATAGTGGACTAGGTAAAATCAAATTTTTTAGCGACTAAAATAATAATATTAGCACTGTTTTGAAAATGCCCCCCCCCCTACTAAAGAGCTGTCCTAGGTGTGCACCTATGTTGCCTACCCCTTGAACCGGACCTGTGTGTAGGTAGTTGTTGGTTATCCTTTTCATACATTTAATTTTGTACTGTTATTTTGTGCTACTGACTGCAGATGTAGGGAGGTATGCTTACTATGGCTAGGTATGCTGTATATTTTATATCTTAGTCCATACTTATATGGTAATAACTATGAAAATTAAATCCACTCCTTCCCCCCAATCCATTCAATTGTACATAAGTTAATGTAAAAATCAAAATTACAGACATCAAATAATCAAATGCCAAGTATTATTATAAGTATTAAATTATTACGGAATCATTAAAACAAAGTTGCATGTATATTCTAAAACACTAGTTATAGAATAATTGAACAAAACCCTCATGAAAAAAACAATTTTTATAATAAATAGCGTAAAACAATGATTTTGTAACACTTAAAGAGTTAAGTAATATAGACATATAGTCGTACAAATAGAATAAAAATATTAACAAGTAGTTGATTATAGATAGCTTAGATAGCTTATAACATAAATAATGCTTAATGCGATATGAATAAAAAATAAATAAACTTGTAATTGAGAAAATTGAAAAAAAAATCACAAAACAATGTTTGATCATTTCTCAGAGAGCTGAAGGTGAAACACCTGGTATTCATGCGTCTTCATGTTCCATTAGGTTCCTCACTGAAAACCACAAAAATGTAATGATAACATTACCATGAATGTATTATATGAAACCAATCATACATGCAAATACTTAGGATATGTCTCAGTGGCCATGGATAGCGGCATAGAGATTATGTAAGCTCATATAAGGATTAGAAGTTGTTAAAAAGACGTTATAGCCATATTATGTGTTGTCTCCATCTTACTAACATGGAACATGGCAAAACAGTTTTTGAGCAGAACAACTTAGCTCCTCCTGTATTCATAAGAGTTACCAAAATTCTACAACACATAGGGAAAAAAAGTTGTTCCGCACAAAAACACTTATTACTATGTTACTTGTTAGTAAGACTCAATTAAAATGTATAAGTTAAAATCAAACAGATAATACCTTCAGGAACATGAGCTTAATTTTTAATTTTTAGTAAAAATAATGTGCATCTACTAAGTACTAACTAATACCATTAATTTGTTTACAGCATATTTTTCAGTAAATTCTCATTAATTTATATTTTTCCACAAGTTTCATCATGATGTTATGTTTAAAAAGGTATTATTATATTATAGTAGAAAGTTTTCCAATATTTTAAAGTAAAAAGAATAACTGAAACCAATCATTCAATACAAGTATCCTGCTTTAATTTTCTACAGTACACTAGGTGGTAAGTATAATTCAGTTTTATCTCAAAACTCAACATTAATAACTATATACAATAAATGATTGTAATTTTTTACTTACCCTCTGTTCTTAAAGCTCAATTCTGCAGCTTTATTCAATATAACCCGCGTTTCAACATTGGGATAATTCTGCAAAAGTTTGACAATTGTCGAAAAATCTCCTGCCAGTATTTGATCTCTGATTAAACTATAAAAAAGTGTAATAATATATTAATTTAAAAAAAATAGCATGCGGCCTTCAAAGCCCTTTTTTTGACCTCCCTAGAAGACATATTATGTATCTTAATTAAACAACTATAAGTAACTAAACCATCATAATTATATATTAATATCAATCTGTAATGAAATAACTAATAACTTATGCATTTAATAAGATTATGTTTCCAATAGAAAAAAATAAAAATAATAATAAAATTGTTTTTTCTCTTGATGGATTGGACTATTTATATGAATGTGTGAATTGGCCAGCCAACTACAAAATGTTGGACTACCCTGGTCTAAGTCATCATGCAAAAAGTGAAGAATATGATTTGCATTAGCATTTATCATACACAGCTCTCAGCAAAATTAAGGAAACACTGATTAAGATATGAAATTAAATTATAATTTATAAGTTGTAACCTTCTAAATATGAAAAATGATTATTCAGCTACAGCCAAAATAATTAGCAAACTAACTATACAACAAAGCAGCTTTCTGCAACCTTTCAACAATTTATCACGGTATCGGTGAAAACAATTAAAATATTTAAAATAAATCTAATATGGTACACTATTATACAAGCTTTGGTGAGATCACTTCTACTGCTCTCCCCTAAAACATTTGTTTGTTCTAAATTACTAAATATTATTGTAATACCCAAACCAAACTTACACTATCATTGCACAGCATATATCGATGAGAAATGAAAATCGCTGTGAATCAGAAAACAACGAATCCCATATCCTTAAGACTTCTGGCAGTGAAAATTCTTGTGACAATAACAGAGTTAACCATCTAAAAAAAAGTATACATAAAGACAACAAACAAACAAATTAATGATGAATACAACACAAAAATAATCACAAAACAACTTACCTAAAACTATAGTACTGTGGATAAATATCATTTTTAACTAAATAATTATGGACAACTGGATCATTTTCTTTCAACCTGTCTGTTACCTTACGCATCATGTTCACAATTCCAGTATCTGTTTCATCCAATGTCTTTATGAAAAAATCACGAATTTCCGACATAAGATTAGTAAAGACAAAAAAACAGTCAGCCTCTGCATGCTCTGAAATGATAATTAAGTAGCCATTTTAGATAGTTATTTTTTCATCATATACATTTACATTAAATGCATGTATTTGTGAATATTATTGTGTTGCAAAAATACACCATGATTTTCTATAAATGTATAACACAATAAAACATTTCATAAAAATAAATAACTGAATGGGTGTAATGTAGATGGTTAATACAACATCAACGTTTTTTAAATATGAATGTTATTATTTTGTTATACATTAGAAATTATATATATATATATATATATATAATACTAATCAATATGAGAATAACCATATTATATATTATTAGACTAAAATATAAATAATCAATGTGGGTCGGTCGCATACAAATATATCTGAAGGATAAAATTTAATATATTTACCTTTCATTTTAATAATTGGATCAGTAGCAAAACAATAATAAATTGGACCAATTATTTCATTCATGCCTTGTACATAACCCTGTCCAGGATTTAATTTGTAATAAACAAACAATATCCTTTCCACCACCTCCCAATGAGCTTCAGAACCTTCTTCCAGTGGCTTGAATTCAGAAGTACTGGTTTGTTCGGATTTCTGTGATATTTTAACAATACCAAGACCTTTTCGTACAACATTTGCACTATTTAAAAAATGCATACCAACTCTTCTGTTCAATCGTTTGGTGCCGCAACTGTATACAACAATAGGTAATGGATAATCAGTTGCTTGTTGGAAGAATGATAATTCAGGATGTAATCGCCTATAATTTAGAAAATAATTATAAATTATTACTACATATTCTTTAGACTGAAACTATGAATTATGATTTATGATTACCTGACATCTTTATCTATTTGCGTAAGAGCTTCATTATCTTTAAAAAATGTGTTCCACTTGCTGTTGGGATCCTCACTCAATGGATGATCACATTCTTCACTGTCAATTGAACCCGGAGTGACTAATATTTCATCTGGAGAATTGAAATATGAATTAATTGATTTTAATATATATTCATCAATATAATTTTTTTAAATTTACAAGTTATCGTTTAGATCTGCCCTAATACATGTAATTAAAAAAAAAATTTGTGATCCTAATGCCCTATGATTTTAATTGTTATAACTTAAAACACATATTATTATAATTATAGTACTATACTATAACACCCAAATAATAGATACAATAATTTGAATTACCTAACCACTGCTGGTATAATTTTCTATGGTGGTCTAGCTGTTCATCCCATTTATTTCTATCGCATGGTAAGTAATCAAACAACAACCTCCAACATAACGACCTGTAACCTTTAACATCAGGAATACCTGTAAAAAATGTATCACACATAAATGTACAGGGTACTAGAATATTTAAGAAAAAGGTACACTGAATAATAATATTAATAACTACCATTGAAACAGAACTCTCTCAGTTTTGATAGATCGATCACTTCCGATTCTAACACTTGGTCAAGATCCTTCAACCTGGGAAAAAAAATATTATTTCATTGAGTCATCATCTAGTGACTGATGTTGGAATGTTGTGTCCAAACTGCTTAAAGTTTACCTCAAATCGTACGAAGACATTGTGAACAGCGATTGTCAGACGATATTCTGAGGACCTGAATTTGACCGGATTAACATTTAAACACATACCAGACGTCAAATGATTAAATGTTTTACCCAACTAAAGAGACCGTTAGAGATTAAAAAAGCTCTGGCATGCAATTCAGATTATTATTAACAATACCATACGTCTGCCGTTTTCGTTTTATCAAACGTTTCGAAATAACAACACAGTTATCTTATCACAAATAAGAAGAAAAAAAAACAACGAAAAAATTCTGTTTAATCTCTGAATTTTTGAATATTATAGGAGACAGCGTGTCAGTGACACAGTGACTACCGGCTTTAAAGTGTGGTCAATATTGTGAGGCACGTCCCACAACAACTGTGATTTAAATATTAATATTGTTTTTGTGGAATGTAGATAAACAATAAATTATATTTTTATTGTCCGCCTCTACCGATCGATTTTCAGTGTTCTATTTCTGTAAACCTGTCAAATCTGTTATCATCTGGGTCGGACCGCGGGAAGACACTCAACAGACTGAGACAGCAAGCAAGCTGCATTAACAAAACTGACCGCAGAATTATAGAAACGCGTTTTTCAATTTTTTACTGAAATGTCCTTCAGTTATCTGCGCCAAAATTGTATGCCCATACTGACATTGAGAAATGTAAAAAGTAAGTACTCCGAATGTTTGATTTAACAGTGACAAATGTATTTTATATTGTGTATAATTGCTCGATATATTGTTGTATTACAGCACAGGAATACTACGACATATTATGGAGAGAGATTCATCTGATTGGTCGTGCTGGATTTGGTGCTGATCTAGAAATATCTGACGATTCGTCTATTAGCCGTTGTCATGCAAATCTCACGCTTGTCAAAAAAGTACCTACAGATTGTTTCATTGCCATTGGTATTTGGTACTCTAAATAACTTAAAGTGTTGATTTGTCATTTTAAATTCTAGTCATCTGGCAATCTAATGAAACTGTTTTTGATTCTTGTGGACAAGCAATCAAAGTATGGAACGTTTATTAATAATCTGGATGAACCAATTGAAAGAAATCGCCCTAAAATTTTAAAAATTGGTGACAAAATTCGTTTTGGCGTAATGGATAGTAATTGGACGTGAGTAAATCTCAATTCTCAATTATTAGCTATTAATTACTATTTCTAGATTATAAACAGTTTAAAAACAAATTGTAAGATCTGTGCATCAATACTTATTTTATTACAGTGTTGAAGAATATACTTTAGTGGTTTGTCCATCAACATTGAAAACTTATGAAAAAGATGAGTTGAAAAATATGATAACATCATTTGGAGGACGAGTAGAGCGTAATTGGTCTGAAGAGTGTACACACCTCTGTATGAATTCTGTCACTGTTACAGAAAAGGTAAATTATGCCTGTTAAATTTGTTGTACCTACCTAATTTATATTTTTGTTTTATTTTATAATTTGATACATTACAATATTATCTAAACCAGCTATTCTTTAACTTGTTTATCCGTGGAACCTTTCTTTATATGCACTTTTATCATGGAGCGCCAACTTTTTTTTTAGCTTTTTAACCTTTTTTTATTTACCTAGCTTTCAACCATAAGTTATGATAGCTTAACACTATTAGAACCATAACTTTGTTTCAATACTTTTAGTGTCACATTTTATAAAAGTTATAACATCATGTTAAAATTTTAAATTTTGAAAAATGCACACGTTTTGCAGAACCCTGAGGTGACCTCCATGGAACCCTAGGGCTCCACGAAACACAGTTTATGAAACGCTGATCTAAACATAATTAATGAAACAAAAGCTATTACGTACAAATCTGTAACTGAACCTATCTATAATTAATTTTTAACATATATTAATATAATAAATGTTTAATAATTATTGTTAAGTAATAGAACAAAATAAGAACTTCTCGGCATTGGTATAATGTTACCATCAAAAAGAAAATCAACAACTAATAAAAAAAAATGACTGCTTGAACTTTATTATATCAAAAGTATTCCAAAAAGAAATTTAATATAAAAATGTAATAAAAGAAATATTATTGTTCTAAAAAAAAATCCATTTTAAGAAGATGCTACACCGCATGTATTGTCTGCTTGCGCCAAATGCAAAACCTTGCAGATACTGTTTTTCACGAGTAAGAACCACTCAGGAAACAACCAAATTTTTACACCATAAAGAAGAGAAAATTAACTGTGCGCCGTTGTTTCTAATTTTTCGATATCACTAATACAAAAAAACTTCTTATTGTTTAAAAATTCAACATTTTTAAGTTTTTCAAATTTGAATAGCTTTTTTTAGTTTTGATATCAAAAAAATAAAAACCAAGTTGCACAGTAAAAGTTTTCCCAAACTTTGGTGCTTAGCTTGGACTACAGCCTGAGTGGCTTTTACCTGTGAAAAATAGTTTTTGCTTCATTTTACATTTGTAAGACGGACACAACATATGCGGGTGTATCATTTTTTTTTTTTTTAATGCAATATTTACAATCTATACAACAAGTAGTACAATAAGTACATTTGATAATAAGGTAGTATAATACATGACTTGAATGGGGAAAACCGTCCATCAACAGTACCTCCTAATAATGATGGGTTCTCAATGGAGACCGTTTTTTTTTTTTTTATTGTGCTAGGCAAGGGCGTCTCTTGGGCATTTTCTTTTTAACCTTCTAGGAGGGTTGCTCGGGAATGGTTAAAGAGGACATGCGAGAAATAAGAGGGTTTTGGTTTAGGTGTAGTTTGGAGTGAAACTGTTTGTAGTGACGAGTTGCTAATTCATTGACAGTTGAGATTTGTAGATCCTTATGTAGTGCGTTGTTAGTCATGTACCAGGAGGCTCCATCATATTTTTAATAATATTCTTATTCATTTATAATTTTTTTTTTCGTATAAAATCAATCTTATGACTGTAGGGCAGATTTTTTTCAGTGTCTTTTATGATTCATCAGATATGTTTTCCTTATATCATATTCTACATACTGTATTAAACATTTTAGTCACTTTCAGGTGTTATTATGTCTAGCATCTGCAAAATCAATAGTAACCGTTCAGTATTTTATTGAATTAATGAGAGGTTTAAACCCTCATTCATTATCTAAAGTACCAGCCTGTATAGATTACAAACCTCAATTGGCCGAAAGTCTTTTAAACCCAAATTCATTGTCGTTAGATGTGAATAACAAACGAAAAACGCTGTTTTCTGGAAAAACATTTATATGTTCTACAGTTAATCAACTAAATCGTCTTTCAAAATTAGTGAAATTAACAGGTGAACAAAGTTTTACAACAAATGTAGATTATAAGAAGTATAACCTTATATTTTGTTATTTAGGTGGGGAAATTATGAGTTACTCTGCTGGAATGTTATCTGACAATGATATTTTAAGCAGTACAAAATATATTCTAATGCAACGAGATCCACAGACTGAAGAAGATAATCATTTGTACCAACGGATTCTGGGTAATTTCTCCTTGATGTTTGTGAAATTTGAATAGATGGTTTAATGTATGGAAAGGTTAAAATTAATGTATAATATTTTTACTTGGGTGTGTTGTTGTTCGTAACTAAAATATAATTTTAACTATTGTAATTTATAACAAATCTAAAAAATATTAATTTATAAAGCTGTATACTAAATAGTAAATAGTTTAAAAGCAATTTGTAAAGATTGAGTGAACATTTGTTTGTCTACTTATATTTCTCATGGTTAATAAGATAGATAAGAGAAAGAATAGTTGGATAGAAACTATACAGTTAAAATGGAATGTAGTAATGTACACATTTTACAGCTAAAATAGTGGTGAACAGCGTGAGCATTTCCCCCCCCCCCCCTTTATTGTCGTTGCGTTTATTGAAAACCTATAATAAAATACACAAAGCATAATAATAACTGTTACATTAAATATTAATGTACAGTATTATTTTCGTAAGTGAGTCATAATCCTAATGGCCAACTGAATTCTAAAATCAACTAACTAATTATTTATTTAATGTAATAAGTAATTTACCTAAGACTGTTTTAAATAATTAACAATTGTTTTGCTTTATTATTATTGGTTTTAGAAAAACTTAAGATGGTGAACAAAAGGTCTATACCAGAAAATGATATTGGATTTGCCATTATTTTTTCAAATACTACAAAACATTGTAATCCTAGTTTCAATGTATCTTTAGTTAATCTTGAATCTCAGTCCAATTCAATTAAATCACAAGAGTCCATTGTCTTGGCTTCTGAAACTGAGGTACTTAATTGTGTAGTTTTATTTATACTAAAATAAAAACTAATTGGGTTAATTTTTTTATGTTTCAGGTTTTAACTGTTAATAATAGTGAGTTATTATCAGTAAATACCATACTAGATTCTCTTCCAAACACTATTCCAGATTCTTCTCCAAACACCATACCAGATTCTCTTCCAAACACTATTTCAGATTCTCCTCTAAACACCATACCAGATTCTCTTCCAAACACAGGAGGTGCTTTTAAGAGGTATTTCATTGCATTCTAAATTGTGTTACACTGTCCTTTTTTTATAATCTTATTAACTTTATTTTAGACCATTTGAAGTTGTATTTGACTCCGAAGAAATTATACAACCAATTAATAAACGTTTCTTATTGGCAAATGGCGAAGGAGAAAATAACAGTAAGGAAACAATAAGAATAGAAAATGAATGCGAAATTGAACCAACTCCATCTTGTAGTAACCATAATGTGCAAAGTCCTATTCCTAAAACACAAACAGTTGATACAAATGATAATTTGTCTTTAACCACAGTGTCAAGCTCACACTGCATTTCAAACACCAATAAATCTTCTTTGATGTTTGAACCAACTCCATCCAGTGGTAACCAAAATATGCAAAGTCCTACACCTAAAAACCAAACAGTTACCACAAATGATAATTTGGGTTTAACCACAGTATCAAACTCACAACACATTTCAAACAGAAATAAATTATCAGCGTGGCTTCAAAGCACTGTAGCTGACAATAATGTGAACAATACTAATAATTTACAGTCAAAGACTGCTGAAAACCTGGCTGTACCTTCAAAAAGAAAGATAGCAAATGATAACCCAGTATTTAATAATGAAAACGAAGACCCGTTCAACTATATGGATATCGACGAAGTTGAAGAACATCCAAAAAAAAAGCCAAGGAATAGAGATATGAATTCAATATTTTTTCCTATAACTGACACATCATCTAGCAATAAAAGTGAACCATCTAAAACTGTGGAGACTAATGCCAATGTAGCGGTGGATCCAAATTTTATTATGAATTTACTCTCCGAGGCCAAAGGTACTGGACAGTTCATAGATGCGAGTATACCGCATAATAAATCGGTAAGAAAATATATGAAAATAGTGATGATATAGTGTGTATGTATGTAATTCATTAACCAATTATTTATAAATATTTCAGTCTGATAATACAAATGAAGACACCAAATACGATTCCTTATTAAATTCGGTCATTGTGGAAACTGTCAGTATGGTGGTGTCCAGACCTACACAGACTGCAAACATCATTCAAGGAAATAATTCTAATCTTCAAAACTTTAAGAAATTTAAGAAGGTAACAGTTAAAAGTAATCATAACTGAAGGGGGAAACACCCCCCTGTAATTAATTATTAAGTAAATTAAATTATATATTTATATTATATACTACCTCTAAAAGTAATGAATTATCATTGTCAATTTTCGAATGGATAAATGTAATTACTAGTTTTATAAAAGAAAAAAACATATCTATTATGAATTATACTAAGTCGTGTTTCAGAGCAATTCCAATATTTTGACATACTGTTCAACTTAAAAATTATAAATAGGACGTAACTTGTATGATATTTATGTACTTGGATAAGCCTGGGGCTTTTTTAAAATCAGATTTAGTGTAACAATATCTAAAATATGTAAATATTTTTTCTGAATTTTTTTAAATATAATAAACTTCAAATCATTAATATAAGAACTATTGAAATATCAGAAGCCAACAATTATATAATATTGTTCATGTTATTTATTTTAATATTTTTTTGTGAGTAGGTATGATATCATAAGATAATAAATTCATAAACACTTTTTATTACAAGTGTATTACCTTTAAGTACCATTATACTAACAGTTTACCCCACCTATATTTGAAAAGAATTTCAGTTTAAATTAACATTATGTTTATAATTTTTGTTTTAGAAAGGACCAACCATGCGGATTCCACATATCGTTCCTATGGAATTCATTCAAATCGATTAATATGGCTTTATGTTTATTAAAAATTGAATTATTCCTTATTCGAGTTAAGTGCTGTTTAATTATAATGTTTTTACTTGTTTATTTATGTATAACAATATATTTTTATGAATTAAATAAACTGTATTGTATATGAGCCATGTAATAATGTTTTGTTGAGTTCTACATATAATAAAAATTTGTATTGTGTGATTAGTATTTTTGACGCTCCATATCGAGTATAATTTCATTTAATATAATACTGGATTCTACAACTTCACGTAACGTATTATTATCACAGCTGACAAAATCCATTTCCACACCAGGAGCTCCTAAATAAAAATGTATAATTATGACTCAATTTCTTTTTAAAAAGTTACAAATATAACAGTCATCTATGGCCCATGCCATGTAATTCACATAAATGAATTGAATGATGATGATTATTAGCTACTAGCTAGTATTTCTAAGGCTCTCTATATCAGCGTTTCCCAAAGTGTGTTCCTTAGGGTTCCGTGGGACAATGTCAAGGGTTCCGTTAGATGTATGAGATTATTGAGAAAATTATGTTTATTTAATGTTTGTTGTTTAAAAAATTTTTGATTGAAAATTTTTTTTAAACTAAGTTTAATAATGAAAAGTCATTAACAGTATCATTAAAATATTATTTGGACTTGAGAGTTTAAGGAATTAATTTTCCTTTTTTAATTTACAAAAATTGTAGTTGAGTTGGATTAGACATTAGGGTTCCGCAAAACACAAACAATTTTTTAAGGGTGCCGTGGTCGTAAAAGTTTGGGAACCGCTGCTCTATATAATGACATTAGTAAGTGTATTATATTCATATAAGTTTTAGAATTATAAAAAAAAAACCAAGCTTTTGTTTAATGTTTAGAAATAAATATTGAATACAATTATTATTCCTACTATATTTGTGTTGTTTATAATATTTATAATTGTATTACTGTTAATTTATTAACATTTGAAGTTCTCATTACTTATATTATCGCCAAAATATTAGGAAACGTAATGTTTTTTTCCGAGGATTTTAATTTCATTTACTGTATTATTATATTATAGAAATGTTAATTAGACTTGTACACTGTACATACCACACATCAATATAAGTTTTTGTTAAGAAAATAACTTGTACTTTTATACCAATATGTAAATAATGTAACTCAAATTTAAAAAAAAGAAAAAAATGTTTCCTGGGCAAATTAAAATGTAAGCATGTAAATGAACAACATAACAATAAAATTAAAACCAGTAGGAATGTAGAACTGTTGGATTTCGATGACTATTTTTTGATCTAAAAATAACACACTCGAGGTGGAGAGAAGTTTAAAATTAAATTATTGAAAAAAGAGCTCAATGTGGAAAATAAAATTAATTTATTATTATAAAAATAATTGAATTACATTGATTCTTCAGAATGGGATAATTAATTAACCCCGTAGAGTGAATTTCTGACAAGGTTGGCTCAAAAAAGCTCAGAATACTTTATGTAACAAGCGAATGTTTAACAACATTATGGCAGCGCTATAAGCATTAATTCATAAAACAAAAAGTTTTGTTATTTTTATTTGTTTAATAAAGCATTTTATAGTGTATTTGTATTTCGTTGTCAAGTTTTACATTTAACCACAGCGGATAACTCTAATTATAGTCCATATTTAGTTATAATTAAAAGAATATTATGTACCTAAATCTTTCTTTTTAAACTTGGTAAATGATAATTCATCTGACTGTAAATGTGTTAAGTAAGACTTGAAACAAACCGCAAACGCTTAGTAATTATAAAATAAAAATAGAGTATAAACAATAATTTTTTATAATATTAATAGGCAATGAATAGGAGGGTGGGGCAAAGTTCCATCAGGTTAATGTTTAGGAAAATGTATGGTGGGGCATTGGGGATGCTGAGTAGAGCAGATACATTTTGTACGTGTAACACTCAGTAGTTTTTATATTCTAAGTTCTAAATAGATAATAAGTATGGACTTTTAAATAATTAGAAATGTTTTAATAATACTACCTATATGGGCTTACATGGTTTTTTTTTTTATGCAAATAAGTAATTATAACACAGAATTGAAACAACTTTAACAATGATGTACACACTTTACGATTTTATTTTTACTTTTTTAACATACACCTTGTCACCTTTATGGTTGCACCTCTGGTCATAATGTTCTTATCCAAGAATTGGATTAGAATTACATTACTTGATAGTGATTTAATGGATGTTTAATAAATATTTGGTTTTCCTCTATTTTTTTAAAATTTAATTAGCTTATGAAATATCATTAACTAAAATATAACGGTACAATTAAATGATCTATGAATATTTACAAAATAACTATAATAAATTATTTGGACATACCATAGTTTTGAAAATTATCCCATAGTTCTAGGGCCAATACCATTGGTTTAATTTCTTTATTTTCATTTTGTTCAACTATGAACTTAAGACGGTTACGATTAATATTATCCAAAGTCAACCAATTAAAAAACATCTCTTTGAGTTGAGAAACTATAGATAAAATTAATTTGTAATAAATTCAAAATTGTATGTTAAATTTAAAAAATGCATGTTATATTAGTCTTACCAAAAGGTATGAGATCTGTTAATGAAACAACATTCTGGTAAGCAGACATTTTTACTACATATGATTGTCACAAGATTATTCTACTAAATAATTGTAATATTTAGCGAAAGTAATACAGAAATTAATTCCATAGATTCTAAAATCTTTGGGATGTCTTTGAATACAATATATTTTATCAAATACATTTATTTTTTACATAAAAGAAAAAATTTAATATCCCTGGTAAGAAAATACCCACAAAATTCTAATTAAACATACAACCTTGCTACAAACCTTTTAATTGTCGTATTGATATTGATATGTTGGAGTATTAAACAAACATAACAATACAAATTGTATTCAACTTCGTAAAAGTAGTAAAATATTTTGTGCAATAGATATTTTAAATAAAATCAGGAGTTCACACAACATAAGATTAAAACTACTAAAAAATTAAACGTAAATAAAGTTAGATTCTTCATTAGGAGAAAAAGGGTGATAATGTATTACCATTGCAAGAATTGGTTGATCATTAAATGCTTATAACCAAAATAAAATAAAACAACATTTACATAAATTCAAATTAAAATTTATTACGCCTTAGCAACTTTAGCAACTGCTGTCTTTTTTTTTGGACAATAAGTTTTGTTAAACAGTGCTTGGTAGACATTAGTCCTGATCTTGTTTCTGATTTTTCTTGCTCTCTTCAGCTTGAATCTTTCAAAATCACCCAAAGAAGCGCGCTGAAATCAACAAGATTCAGAAATATAATATAATATACTACTATACATAATATGTTTTATAAATAAAAATATTTACCTTCTCCCTGTTGGCGGCTTTTTCTGCCCATCTGCTTTGAACCCACAATTTGTTTAAATCAGCTTTTTTCCATGCTTGACGAACAGTCCTGGTTGATCCATTGTAAGGGAAATTAATCTTAAACTTAGTCAAGTGAATTTGACTAATACGCATCTTTGACCTAGGTACTCCAGTTTCTGGTCCATCTACCAAAACCTATGAAATAAAACATAGTTATTAACATGATCTATTGAATAAACAAATAACAAAAAATAAAAATACTAACAGTTTTTTGATCGATGCAATCGACTATTGAAACAATTTTGCCTTTGTAAGGACCATCAACAACGTAGACCACTCGGCCAGTTTCGACAAACCTCTTGAAAGGCTATAAAATATGTATAGAGATAAATAATAACCCTAACAACCAATTAAATACAAAATCTTCAACATTTAAGTGGTCAATTTGCAAACCGTAATAAGAGCTTAGTAAATTATTAATATTTAAAAGTAAATATATGATTATTGTGATCTGATTAAAGTTTATCTACAGTTAATAATAATGTTAAATAAGAAAGTCAATGATTTAGGTTTAGATTTAGTCAACTCGAAATTAACATAAGACAAAAAATACAGCAAAATTATTGTAAAAAGTTAATGTATTAACTCGAAGAGATAGTCGAATGCTAGATACCGAAATAGATTATCTTAGTTAAAATATCGAAAAACAGACAATTACCCATAAATCGAGTTGTAAAACGAGGTACTTATATTAACACGGACATAATATCGTTAACGCAATACGTATCGCTCGAACGCGATTTACTATTGATTAATACAGAAAAACGATTGGAAAATTTAATTATATCACCACAAATGTCGGGATTTTATACTACAATTAATAAAATAAACGACTACTTACCATTTTTCAGAAATATTGCTCACTTACACGTTGATTGTTGAACCTAAAAGAATGAGAAACTAAAAGGCTGGAACTGTGGTGCTCAGAAGACAATCATAACCTCACATTAACTGAAATGAAAAAATTACAGCACGGCTTTCATGGAACATGATTGAACATGTTTCGTTTCCTCCATGAAATTAACAAAAAAAAGGTGGGCAAGTGGATTGCGGTCATGACACAGATATACATTACACAGGACGAGTTCTTAAGCATGCTCACCCCCGTTTTTCCCTTTAACAGTACATTTATTCAAATTCTGATTTTTAGAATTTCTAAGTAGACCTACAGACCATATTTTCAAATTTCCGATTTCTTTTTTGTACTATTAAAGGAGAGCGCTGTGGTGATACAAACTTTTATTTTTCAAATGAAAAACCTCCTTTTTACTGAAAATAATTAATTAGAGGATAATTTTTTTTGAACATTTCGATACATCTAAAATCAAAATTTTAATGAGTAGTTTCTGAGTTATTAAAATGTTTAAACTATGGATAATAATCGTTAAAAATGGTTTCATAAAAATAAAAACCATATGTATAATGCTAGAAATAGTATTATTATACTTGAATCATTTTTACAAATTATTCATATTGATTTTTTTTATTAATTTTAAACATAAGACTCCTAGCCTAAGGCTATCTATAACTAGTGATGTTTGAGTATTTATATTTATAAATCAATAGTAATTGTTAACTTTTTCAAATTGTCTAAGCCAATTATGATTATCTTCTTAACCCATTGGCCATAGGGCATAGATATATTATACTTATAACACACAGTTACAAAACACAAAAAATACCGGCTTAAATTTTGATTTAGTAACATCAAAATTTAAAAAATATATCTGCTGGATGATGAAAAATGAAAAAGGTAGGTTTCTAATCGAAAAACTGAAGTTTGTATTGCCATAGAATATAGAAATATAGGATCATCCTTAAGTGGTACAAAACATTTCAATGATTCAAAAAATTGTCTTCAAGTCAAATTCCTAAAATATAAATTATAATATATTATGTATAATTTAAGCATACAATTAGGATAAACATGTTCAAATCATCCTGTGTAACTATAAAGTATAAACATTAAACCACAGAATAGAGATTAAAGGATTAAACATACTATATGATTATATATTTATGTATCTGCGGGCAGTGTCGCAACTAGAGATGCATGGGCCAAGGTGCGAGTTGAAATTTTGGGCCACCTATTTCAAACTTTTATGTCTGAAAAGGCCCCCCTATGTAGAATAAAGGTACTATTTTGGCGGTGCTGTCTGTGAGCTACTTGGGTAAATTATAGGAGCAGATCAAAAGGGCTTAAGAGGGGCCGCACAAAATTTTAATAGACCCCGAAACATTCCCTTCATTTATTTTTAAGCTTATTCGATATTATTTTTATTTTTTTATTATATGTAGGTAGTAGGGCTTTAGGCCTCCCCTCAAACCTTGAGCACTATTTTTACCTATGGTTAGTATGGTTACGAATATAGACATCTTAATTCTGCTGAGTAAGTACTCTGTAGTAGCAGTAGTAGTGATGTAATAACAGAGTGCTGACAGTACTTTACTAATTAGTAATTACTCTGTGTTGGATATGTTGAATTTAAATTAAAAGATATTGATATTGATTTATCATTGTACATTTGTACCCAAACGAATACGGAATAATTATTATAAATGGAAACGGTCTTCTAGACAAGCATACTATTTTATATTGTAATTGGTAATTTATTTTACTATTAGTATTATGGAAGTATTACATTATTCATATTTAACTATTATAAATTAAAATATTATACATATAAATATAAAAAAACTTTAACAGATATTATTGATATAAGGTTTTAAGACAATATCGCCTAACAGCAGTAGAAAGTTATAAATATAACGTTTATCTAGTATATTCGTGGTGTAAAATCGTCACCGTCATCAATAATACTTTTGAATTACAATTTACACAAAAACTTTAGGTTGTTGTAATGTTCGAGTGACATTGTGTACTAAGTAGGTATTTATAAAAGAAAAGTGTGATTTTTATTTTCTGGTTTCAAAATAACATAGATACTTACTAAATACTAAGAACAGTATATTCATGTTCAATATTTTTAAGGTTTTGGACAGAGCAACTACTTTATACTAACAAATTAAAAATATTGCCTTAAAAACATTAAATATTTCAAGTATCTATAAATAACGCGAAAATAATCAAAATATTTTGAAAATTATATACCTAGAGATAAATTATGTTTAGAAAAGAAAAATATTATTAACTCGTTTAATGACAATTTTAAGTATTCAAGTTATTTTTAACTGCCTAATATCCCAATACACAATCACAATAAGGAAATTGTCTACTTTTTTTTGTTTTTCGCTTTTCCTATAATTATTAAGAAGATTAAAAAGTCCCAATTAGATTCACTTTCCTATCAGAAAAGATATTGAAGTTTAAAATCTATGTATTTTTACTGCCTCAAAAAGTAGTTGCAGACAAAAAACTCCAATATATCATTGTGAAATCAATTCATTCATCACTTTGGTCACCTAAAATGGAGTACTTTTTAAATTATTGGAAAGATGATATTATTATAAAGTAAATATACCTATTGACAAAATTTACTATTTTCTATTTACAACAAAGTACAAGCTATGAACAAATCTCACACATGTTTAGGACGTTTAGATACCTACTACTTACTGGTTACCTAATCCTAATGACCTAATATGTAGTATAAAAAATTATATAATACAGGCCCCTGAGCAGCTGTGATTAAAGTCTGCAATAGCTATAGTATGTTCTATTACTACGAGTGAACTTCGCATTATACAGGGTGATTCACCAAGCATGTTTACACCCAATTTTTCGTTTAATAATACATTTATTAAAATTTTAATTTTTATACTTTAATGGACTAATGACCGAATTTTAAAGTTCTTGACATTTTTTTGTGCTAGGTACTTATAATGAGTATCCTGTGGATAAATAATTTTCTGTTTTTTAAATGAGAACCCCTATTTTTCAATGTTAACTAATTGATTGATATTTTTTTGCAATTCTGATGTACCTACCTAGTTCAAAATTCAAACGCTTAGTTTCCTAACCGTTTTATAATACGAATAATAGAACTTAAAATATATTTTACAAAAATATAAAATAGAACCATCTATAATATCGGATCTACAATCTAGTATTATTTTATTATACTTGGACCATTTAAAAAAAAATTAATTGTTGTTTGATTAATATTAATTACTTCAATATTGTCAATTTTCAAATCAGCATTGTTCTTATACCTTCCAAGTTCCAACCTATTATCGTGGACCTATTGTTTTCAGTAGGTATTTAAAGTTAAATAACTTAAAAACGACTTGTTGGAATTTTGATTTTGAATTTTGATACGTCATCATTTTTTCTTATATTCTTTTAAAAAGGTCAAATCCTGTTTTGGTTCCGCATAAAAAAGTGTGTAATTGTGTGATATGAAAAATTACAGAACAAATAGCAGCAGTGCAGCACAGCTGTAATAATTTATGTCTACACTCTGCAGTAGGTACTGCGATTCTAGGAAAAAGTACCTAAAAAAGTAAAAAGTAGTCAAGAGTAAAAAAATTCAACAAAGCCACATATTATAGTTAAATTAATAAATAATGTCACATTGTCATATAATATTAGTTATTTTTAACTACATAGGTATAGGGAAGTACTTTCTAATTTCGTATACCTACTAATTACTATATTACTACACTTAAATATAGGCATTATCCATAATAAATTTTCTGTACTACATACGCAAAAATAGACCCCGCAGGTGTTTATTATTTGTTATTTTGTAAAACGTGCAATTTCAACGAAATTATTATTTTTTTTTTTTTAACAAAATTTTATATTACGCTATCTGTTACAATTAATGAACAATAAGCTTAAGTGATAAAAATATAATAAAATAGACAGAAGAGACTGAGGGAAGATACCACCCATCGGAGGTACTTCAGTCAACGAAATTAAAAAAAAAAAAAAATACTTGCAAATTGTAAACGCTCGAGTTAGAGCCTTTGAGGTGTATACCTTGGGCATTGGCCATTGGCGAAGCTAGGGTTAAGATTCTGTTGTGAGATCTACAGTCCACCTATATAACCATTAGGTAATTTGAAAAAACCCATAGGGGGCTTATATCCCCTATAGTATGAAGTGATCCCCCCATAGTTGCGCCACTGGCACGGACCAATAGATATTAGATGGACTTTATCTTGAAAGCAAAATTCATCATCAACTTTACTGTATTATAGTAAAAAGTATTGTCCGTGTATTTATTATATATATTAAGAATATCAAAACCATTTTAATATGTATAGATGAATAAGCCGAGTTGGTTCTCGAGTTGTTACGAAGGATAGAATATTAGAATATCCAAAGTGGTTCCGAATTATTTTAAAAACATTTTCTTTCCATTTTTTACAGACTTAGGACTGTCTAAATATACATACCTATTATGCATTTGTGCAGGTGTAGTTAGAAACTGTATTTTTTTGTTTCATAATAGGTAGGTCACATAATGTTTAAAAATTGTAAAATATAAATAATAATAATAATAATAATAATAATAATAATATCAAATATAATATCATTTACGGCCTTACGGGTACAGACTGTGAGCACACCAATAAGGATACGTAAAAATGTGTGGGCACACAGAATATAGAAATGCCGCGCTTTTCTGTCCCCGGAGTACATATCGATTTTTCTTCCAAGGACAAACACGTATCACCGCTACTAGCTTATCATGGGGGGGTTGGCGGTGTGGCCCTGGGGCGGCGGAGATACAGTTCTTACAATATTTGTGTGCCGTTGCTGTTCGAGGCCATTTTGCGAATGTTTATTCCGAAGTTCGGTTAGAGTTCAGTCAGACAGTCACTAGTCGCCGCGTTCGCTGGAGCTTCGTATCGGCGGAATTTTCGCCGCACCTTCGCCATCCGCACGCTCATTGGTGATCGACTGTCGACACTATGGCCTACAGATCTAGGTAACTATGGACAGTAAACAAACTCCGATCTTTTGAGTGGATAGGAGGTACCTACAACAAGTTATTGTTGTTGTTACTTGTGAAATATCACCGTGCGTCATTCGCCAAATCGAAATATTTTGAGTATCATCTCATTACTAGTCTGTGTGCCTGGTGGTCGCTGTCCGTTAATTACCTAAAACTATACGCACACTGGATTATTTAATCTAATATTTATTTGTTTGTACGTGTTTAGTCGTGGTGGTTTTGGCAACACAAGAGGAGGAAATCGTGGGACTTCTTACAATTCGAATTATGGCAGTCCAAGAGGTAGTCGAGGTGGAAATAACTACAACGACAGTTACAGAAGCCGAGGTAATAGTTCATTTCGTGGATCTCGAGGAGGCATCCGAGGAAATAGTGGATCTTGGTCCACTAATTCACCATCAACCGGTGGTTATAGCACCATGAATCGTAACAGTGGATCTAACTGGTCGCCTCAAGGAGACTCAAATTATGAATCAAGAAATCGCTATACTGGTAAGATTTACATCTTTTGGTATATTTCTACTTTACCAGGCACCCTTTTTTTTGCTAATTTTTTTTAAACTTATGTAGTTAAGTATGCTATAAACGATGGTGAAGTCAGAATTTGGCGTACGGACTTAGTTTTGAAGTTATGGCCTAATAAAGTTTGCTATTTTGCAATATTTTTATGCTTTCGCGCATTACCTTATTTTACTACGATTATTTCAAATATTGATATTTTTTTTAAACATACCCTATGGCCTACTTGAGGTGGGAGTATAGTTGAAAGATATTTTAGATTTGCGGTGCAAAGCGATGGCGCCAAGGAACGCAGCGATGAGTGTCGCAAAACATGTAATCAGTAATCACTACCCATACTTCGACTAACTTGTGCTTCAAAAACAACATCGACTAATTCCTAGGCCTACTTTAGGTGGTTTTACACAACAAATAGAAGGATATTTTCGATTTTAATGTCCAAGGTAGCATGGCAAGCGAGTGACCACGCTGGGAGTAAACGTACTTTAAAAACAATTATTGTTGAAATCCTAAGTTTACCCGAGGTGGTTTTACACAAGTCGAGGGATATTTTCAATTTTTATGTCCTAGCAAGCGAGTGACCCCACGCAGGCAGTAAACGTATTTTCCTAAGTTAAATCCTTAGTTTACCCAAGGTAGTTGCAAAAGTTTCCAAAACACATATTTTGGAAAAATATATATGTTTGAAAAATTCGCTTAGAAGCCACATTTCAATATGGTTAAAATTTTCTTTTTTAAAAATAAAGTGCAATAAACTATGCGTGCGGTGAGTGGCGTGAAGTGAGTATCCGTGAATGCGACGTTACCATTGCGCCATGCTTCTACAGAATACTCATAGGCATTGTGGGTATTAATGGTTGATATATAATTTTAAAACTTCAACTAGCAATAACTTCGGAACTAAATTCGTGCTCCAAATTCTGATTTCACCAACATTTTTTCTTATTTGAATCCTTATTTAGCTACCATAAGAATTTTAACTTGATTTTAAGTATTTTTGTTCATTTCTAACATGAAGTTAAATTATTCAGATTATTTATTATTATTTTATGTCTATTGTATATAAGTACTCATTGCTGTTAATATTTATAATTTTAGGTAATAATGATCGATATTCAAGTAGTCATAATGATGACTATAGACGGTATAAAGAGGTATGTTTGATAATATTAAATAACTATTTAGCTGTGATTTCAATTTACAATATCTTGGGAGTTGGGTATCACTTAAACATTGCTTTTCTTAATATATTTGTTTTAATAAAATAGAACATATTTATTATAATTTAATAGTATACATAATATTAAGTTAACTACCTATGTAGGGATTATATTTATTTTAGTTCACAGTATCATTTTGAAAATATTAACAATAGTATTAAATTCTATGTACATTATTTTAATGTAGTATTTGCAATATGTAGTTCATATTACATCTTAAAAAGAAATAAAAATTAAATATAATATGTATTTGAAAATTTCTAAATAGCCCTATGTAGAAATTTAAAGAGATAAATATTTAACCTGGTATTAAAATACCAGGTAAATTATGGCTTCATATATATTTCATATATCGTACTCCATGTATTTCCAACTAAAAAAATTTCTTCTTTCGGTTACAACAATTTTTATACTATTAATTCTCATTCAAGAATTTTAGTTAAACAGTAAATTATTTAATACTGATACAATAATTTCCTATTACAATTTTTAAAAATGCTATAGAATTAGATAAATTTTTGAATTAATTGGAAAACTGCTAACGTTTTATGTTGAATTGGATCTACACAAATGCTATTTATGTATTGCTACTACAAATAAATAAATTGAATCGAAGACTGCCCAGTGTCTCAAAACCAATTTGTCTTGCAAGATGATAATAATATCAGTAAACAATTATTAAAGGGTTCCATATTTAAATATATTTAATAAAATTATTATTATTATTATTATTGATGATGCATTTTGAAATTATATTTTATGTTTTTACAAACATATGTATAATATATATTAAAATAAATATGTAAAATAAAAAGATGAGATTGACACATTGATTGAAAATTGCACGCAGGGTGGAAGAAGTCACAGAGACTCAGACATGGGTGGATATTCAAGCTCCGGTGAAGACTTTGGCCGTTATAGTAGTGGTGGTGGTGGTAGCAGTTACATAGACGAACGTAGTAGCAGATCATCCTATGCTCCTGATAATAGCTATGGAGGAAGTAGCAGTTACAGAGGTCGTGAGAGTTCACGTGACTATGGTTCAGATTTCCGTAAGCCATTGCCTCCTGATGATGATCGTTCTTCACCACCTTCCCCTAGATATTCTGGCCCATCAAATAGAGGCAGGGGTACTAGGGGATTCCGTGTTGCTGAAAGACCTGGCATGAGGGGTAGGTCTTCTGCCAGTGTGTCTTATAGAGGATCATTTGGAGGTAGTGCAGGACTTATCAAACGCAAACGACTTGAACCTACACCAAGTTGGCGCACAAATCCCATTCGTAAAGGATATGATATGGCAAACAGAAGAATACATACAGTCAAAAGGTAATTTAATGGCGACTGTCATGTTTATATGAAGCGTTACCAAAGATGATCAAAACAGTAACATATCTAAGTAAATAGTAAACATATATAAAAAATATTTTAAAAAAACAACATGAAAAACCTATTTATAGGCTATAGAGCCATTTTGCAGAATGAAAAAATATTAAACAAATATTGTTGAATAATCGTACAAATTACTTATAAGTAATTTTTGGTGTTCAGAAAATATAAAATACAATTAATGGTCATTGTTCTGACTAAAATTCATTAAAGATTATTGTGTTTACTTATGCATGTACAATGGATAATATTTTACAACAACGTTTTTGAATATGCCATTGAATTAAATTTGGAGTTAAACGATGAAATACATAGATACAGTAAATTATTCGTTCAGATGCCAATATTAAATATCAACAACATTTTTCTACGTACAATATGTTTAAAATAAATAATTTGTCTGTATTGAGTTATACTCTATGAATTAATGAAACAAACTCAATTGAAGATGTAATTTGTGGATGAACTCCAGATGAAATAATGATATCAAATTGTAATGCCATAGCATTTATTATTCGCAACAAATTAACATCAATACATTTATATTAGTATTAATTTTGAAACTACCCTATTTTAATTGATTAGTATTATATGACAAATATAATATATAGTATATAGATTGTATACATCGCTGGGTACACAGTCAAATGATAACACCAAAAAATCATAGTATTATAATTATTATTGATAGAAGATAATTTTGAAACTTCCATTTCTTCACAATCATTAGCTGATATATCAATACAAAGTATACTGTCTTGTGTTGAAATTTGTATTCGACATCAACAAGTCTGTGTGTACATTGGTATTCACCTCCTATTCAATGTTGTGTTTTGGAATTAGATTTTTTGACGTGCATCCAGTTTCAATGGTTTTGTTAAAGAACTATACTAATATCATAGAAGTGTTTAGATTCTTCTATCAAATTCTAAATTTACTCTTATTTTATAAAATACTACATAACTTATATATATATTGTATGCAATGGGATTCATTGAAGTGTCTACAACTCTAAACTCAATGTTTTGAAAACATTGTTTTTATATAATTTGATGTCATTCCAAAACAACATTTTTTAAAAACATAATATATTGTTTACAATTTTCTAAAAACATCAGTTCATAGAGTTTGTTGATACATAAAAATTGAAGTTTGAACGAGTAATATTAATTTTTTTTTACAAAGAATTTATTTTGACTTGCGGGATGAGTGTTCAGGTTACCCCTACAAGTAGAATTAATGAACAGCTCATTTGAAATTCAATTTTTATGTATCAAAGTAATCTGAGAATATTCTGCTTCAGAATATGTATTTAGATATACACAAATATTTATTTAAAAAGTTAAAACTTTTTGAAATAATGATTGTAGACACTTAAATTAAGCATTTTGAAAACATAATAAATAATTTAATAAAAAAATCTCTTCTAAAGCACATTTTTTTAAAGCTTACCTATAATTATAGGAGTCAGAAAACAAGTCTGATTTAATTTTTTTGGAAAAAAGTCTTATTTTATTGTTGATATGAATGATATGAATAATATGAATAGTGAAAGGTAATTTAATTACAATTAATAATATTGAAAAATAATTTGTTATCAACAATATAAAAATGAATGATATAAGAATGTAACATTGTTTAAACAAATATTTTATTTATGAATGCAATGGCCAATATTAATTAAAAATTCTTAAATTGATATTTCATTATCAATTGTCCACTATAGAGCATAAAACATTTATATTTTATGTATTATTTAGTTTTTATCTGTGAAGTGATTACACTTCTTAGACATTTTTTGAGAGCATTTCCATCAGATGCTTATTGATAGATCCTGATTGTGTATGAAAAACAATTAACAATTTTTTTTTCCTGATTTCAAAATCATTACTTTCATTTCTATGCAAATAACTGCGATTAGACAACAACTAGATTTCTTTATTTGTTATCATGCCATCAATTTCATATTTTATCTCATGATACAGATTAATTTTGCTATATTTATTACCTTACCTTCTAAAACACATTATTTTTATATTTCCCTTACCATTTATTACAGTAGGTTTAATAACAAAAAATCAAATCAAACTTTTTTCTGCTTAGTAATTTTGTGGTCGTAATTTTTTTCCAACAAATTTAATCGGGCTTTTTCAAAATGTCTATAATTACAATAATCTTTAAAGTTTATTTTATTTCTGAAGTTTCCTCTAAAAACACATTCAAATAGTGATCAGTGTATTGTTTAGTATTGGAGTAATTTCATTGTTACTATTCCAGCTGTAAAATTCTACATTTATGATCCAAAAAATATTATGATCTGTGCCATTTCAGTATGTTCTTATTTCAAATTAAGTGAAATTAATATCATATAATTTAATGTTATTATTTATTATTATAGGTTATGCAGTTTTAATCAAATATCAATAAGTCATAGATTTTTTAAATATAATGAGTTAAACCAATAACATTAATATTTTTATTTTAGCTATATTAATAACTTTAAAATTTTTAACAGAACTAGTATGCGAGATCATGATGATTATCGTGCAAGAAAAATTGCAGAATTCAGGGAAAAAACTCGTGTATGTATAAATAACAGAAAAGATAATGGTTTCTTTTATTTATAATTTTGTAAATACTTTAGCAACTTCGTGAACGTGTAAGGTCTCCGTCAGTGGATGAAGAAGAAGTGGAAGAGGAAGTTGAAGAAGAAGTAGAGGAAGAAGAATCAGCCAATGATGAAGGGGCAGAAAGACTTGAGGATGATGGTGAAAAAAAGGAAAAATCTCCCAAAAAGAAAAAGAAAGTTATTAAAAAAGTGATGAAAATTGTTAAGAAAAAAGTTAAAAAACAAAAACTAAATGGCGATATATCTAAAACTGGTTCTGGAGATAAAACTTCAGTGAGTAATTTATATATGAATCAACAGATATTTGTGGTTTATTATTATTTATTGATGTTTTTTTTATTTTTCATGCAGCCTCGAAAAATTGAAAACAATTTGTTAGATTCTAGAGGTGAACCGTTTATTAAACTATTGTGTCCACATTGCGAAGTAACCTGCAAGACATTTAGAGTAAGTAGACATTTTACGATTTAAATTTTTCACGTTTACAAATTGTATTGTAATTTTAATTGTGTACATTTAGGAATATGAGATACATTTATTGAAAATACGTCATCGCACAGCCATGTCTCAATTAGCCCGTAAACGTAAGCATGAATTATTCATGTTTCGTCAGGATCAACGCAAGGAACAAAAAGAAATTGATGACAAAGCAACTGAAGACGAACCAAAAACTGAGATAAACTATTGCAAATTATGCCAACTAAATTTCAAACAACCAAAAAGTGATCACTTCAGTAGTACTTTGCACAAGGTAAGTGTAAAACTGTCAAAATTGTGAACAAATGTGTATCGTAAATCATAACTAATGAATAAACATTTTGTTTCAGAAAATTAAACAATTTCTACAACCCGCTTGTAATGTTTGTCATTTGATGTTTGCATCGCCAATGCGTTATGAACACCATTTGTGCAGCACCAACCATTTAAAGGTGATGATTTTTTGTTTGAAAATTATAAGATTCATCCAATTATTATTGTGTATGGTGTTATAATATAATAATTTCTTGCTTCTTGCAGAAAGTTGATGTTTATGATCGTCGGACTAAAAGAATGGCTGCTGTTCCAAGTGCAGATGAAGCTGATGGAGATGTGGATATGGACAATTTTATGGTTTTGGATTCTGTTGGATCTGGGGATGGTTAGTCATCATAGACCTTCAAAAATGAAATACAAACAAATAAAACAATTAATAATAATTAATTTGTATCTTTAGATGAGGGATCAGAAGACGGTGAAAATGCTCAAGATAATAAAGATGATGGAAAAAAGAAATCAAAGTCCAAAAAAGAAATAAGTCTGGGTGAGTTATAAATCTTTATTATTATATATGTAAGATACTTACTAGTTACTAATATTTCTACAACTACATCAATAAAAATATTAATACAATTTATAATGCTTTTTATAAGAAAAGAAGCTGATTTTATAAATCATTACTCAGTTTTAAATGAAAAATTCATTATTTTTCCAGATATTTGTTGGTTTTTTTTTATCATACGCTAATTGCATTTTTAGGATATTAATACTATTTTTAATAGTTGTTTAAATTTATTTTTACTGATCAATGTAAAATACTTTTGTAATTTTTCTTTAGGTAAAGAATTTTGTAAAAAAGTTGAAGTATATTACTGTGAATTGTGCAAGTTCAATTTGCCCCCACATGATGATGTTGAACAGCAATTGAATTTGCATTGCCGTAATCGTGTACATTTACAACGATATGTGCAACATTGTGAAAAAAATAAATCCCAAGAAAAGACTGTAGAAGTGGTTAGCAAGGAATGTACCGATGATGCAAAATCTGACAGTGAATCATCTAACAAAGTATAAAATATTTTATAATTTCCAATGCACATTAACTCTACTCTTAATTTGCACTTCCAGGGTGTTGGAAATGAGGATAAAAATGAAACTTCTGACAATGGTGATGATTCATCGAGTCTAAATATTCAACATGACGAAGAAATGAAAAATGAATTTTGGGCTACATTGGATACTGTCATAGAAGCTAATAAAAGTAAAGATGACTCGGATAATGAAAAATCTAATGGTGATTCAGAGTCCAAATGAATATTTTTAAAGTAATATTATGTAAACACTGATATGCTACTACTCAAATCAGTAGTCATATATCTGTTGTCCGTGGTAATTTTCTGTAAGACAAATAAAATGTGACTGTTGTTTCCTTTTTAAAAGTTTGTGAAGTAGGTATAATTGTTTTTTTATATTCAACTTTAAATTAATAGTTGTATGTTAGTTGTACTCAATTTATGTGTAATTTTCTGCCAACTATTGATAATTTTAAGCTTTTTGTAGTTTAAAGTGTAAACTCGTATAATTGTACTGTAAAATATTTTTAGATAATATTATGAAAAACAAAAAAATAGAAATCAGTTCTTGTTTTAAATTCAATTTTGACATGAAAAATTAAACATACCAGCCTTGGTTCTCAACCATTAGGTCAAATAGTATTAACCCATGGTTTGCAGCCAAAAGATTTGGTTTTATTTTTATTTTTATATTACCTATTAATTTTTACATATTTTTTTCTTTAAAATTTAAGTGTAAATAAAATAATTTACTTGGGCTTAAATTTTAGTTATTTTTTAAAAATGCTTCATTTATTGTAAATCTGTTGCCATTTCTTTAGATTTAAGTTCTGTAAAAAGGTTGGGAACCACTGCATTAAAGTTTCATAGTGGATATAATCTCAATTTTTATTCTACAAAAATATTAAATTAGATGATTACAAACAAAGTACAATATTATATATATATATGTAAGAATATATTTAAAATTGAGATGTCTTAAAAAAACTAAGTCTGTCATACAAAATACTACTATCTTTAAATTTAATGAAAAGAACTCAAATTTTCTTGATCTAAAATAAATAATTGCTCGTCATAATTTTGAAGATATATATAATATTATAACTAAACAATTTTAAATTTTAAGAAATCTTATACTATCTTAAAAAAAAAATAAAATATTTTTAAAATATTGGATGCGGACACATACCTTTACCTATAACACTGGATTAATGCATCAATTACCTATTTATTTAAAATCAGAAAAATAATATAATTTTAAAGCTATTGGAAGCGAGTCATTATTTAATCGTTTTTTCGTGTATTCAGACCCCAATAAGCAGGAGAAAAAAATTTTCCTTCAGAAGCCAGATATTAATTTTTTTTTTTTTTAATGCAATATTTACAATCTATACAATAAATAGTACAATAAGTAAATTTAATAAGAAGGTAGTATAATACATGACTCGAGGGGGAAAACCATCCATCAACAGTACCTCCTAATAATGGTAGATGGAGACCGTTTTTTTTTTGTGTGTTAGGCAAGGGCGTCCCTAGGCCATTTTCTTTTTAACCTTCTTGGAGGGTTGCTGAGGATGGTTAAAGAGGACATGTGAGAAATAAGAGTGTTTTGGTTTAGGTGTAGTTTGGAATGAAACTTTTTATAGTGACGAGTTGCTAATTCATTGACAGTTGAGATTTGTAGATCCTTGTGTAATGCGTTGTTATATTAATTAAGAAAAAAAAATTTCTATGTTACTTCGGAAATGGATTTTCGATTATTTCGAAGTATTTAGCAACACTTAAGTGAAGATGAATTTTGAAAAAAAAGAAAATTAATTTGGTACTTCACCAATTAAGCAGTACAAAAAAATCGAAAATCAATTTTCCCCGCATAACTCAGAAAACAGAGAATAAGAAAATTCAAATAATAATATGTTTTCAAAACCGGGCTTTTGCCTTTTGGTACCGGGTGAATTGTTCCTACCGCTTTTTGGGTCTTTCGTGACGAAACTTTTTTGATCGCAAAATATTGTGACGTGTGACTGTGCGAGGACGCCACAATGCCACATCCGCCCTTGTGTTGTCTCCGTCTTAAAAAATATCATGTAAGACGTGGCAAAAACTGTTTCAGTGTTTCGTGCGGGTAAGAACCGAGAAGACCAAAGTAATAAGAAACCGAATTTCCACCACGAACAGGAGGAGAATATTTTAACCGTGTCGTTGAGTTTTTTCGACAACGCCGATGAGAATCAAAAGTTATCCGAGTGTGGAAAACGTAAAAATATCCGATATTTAAAAGCGTTACAACTCCTTTCTTATCGATGACACCAAACAAATAAAAACGCGCTAAGACACGGAAAACATTATCTTCTATAATGTTATAATGTGTACACTTTTGGTGTCTCTACTGGGAATACACGCCGAGTGGTTCTATCCCTCGCAAAACAGTTTTTGTTATGTTGTATTGTAATTAGAAGACGCAGTCGACACGCTCGGGCGGTGGTGTCCTCTTAGTTACCTACGTAAAGCGTTCGAACTGCTCGAAGAACTCGAGCACACTAAATTAGTGGCGTGCTTAGGGTTTTTCCGGCTATAGGCACTTTCCATTTCGCCTCCCCCCCTCCATCCTTCCTAGAATTATTTATAAAACATATTTATTGTATTATAATATCGTACTGTGTTGTGTATGGGTATAATATAGTTGTAGGTACACGTAGATAGATGTTTAATTTTGAGCGAACGAAAAAATTAGTTGAGTTTGATTTCATCAAATGAAAAATACTTTTTATAATTTTGTAAAAAAAATCGTCGAAATTTGCCGCTCTAGGCCCGTTCCCGTAGCCCGTAGGGCCTGGGCCTAAATACGCCTCTTGACACTAATGATCGGTCACCTCGGACACGGTCACACATGCCTCACGGAGGATATGGGATATTGCCTAAATCCGACCCCTTAAAAACGGTCGCTTTCAACAGCCTTGTTGCACTTGTTAAATTAAAGCATGTCTTAATGTTAATATATTTTATATTTTTTTAATATTAAAATTAAATATTACATGATTTGACTTTGAGTTCAATGAGAATGCAGTATCAACATCAATTTATTTTGTTGGTCAAATATGGATAGTTAATTGTGAAATTATTTCCCAGCGGCGAGTAAATAATTATTAAGATATTTTTATGCTATAGTGACCAAATTATAAATTACTGTCATAAGAACATGACAGTATTTTTTCTTTTATCGACAAGGTTCAGAACCAAATATTGCCCAGTTTTAATCCAGGATCGAATATAGCAAAAATGTTTCTCTTATTTACATTATATAACATCAATATCAAATTAACAATTATAAATAATATATATAGTGATTCATATGTATATATATATATACATATATGATTGGTTATGTGACTCAAAATATAAGTCTTCTTCAATCATGTACTAGTTCTAAGCTCAATGTAAAGTATACAGTATACTAGAGTATGTATCTTGAGAGGAGGTTTTTGGAGAAACAGTTGTAATGACAACGTAAAACTGTATTTATCTCAGCATACTACACATGTGTAAGTGTAAATAGATACCGCAGTTACTAAGTGGTTTTATTTTAATCAAAGGTACACAATTGTAAATCAGGTTGAATACATTTTTTATTAAAACTTGAAAAAAAAAATTATATGTACGGTTTTAACATACATGGAGTAATTAAGATGTAGCGTTTATGATACTTCATTCTCATTTAAAAGTAAGTTAGGTATACCAGCTGATATTGGGAATACTCTTTCTGTTTCTGGACATATAAGTTCACCATTTATAATTTCTACCTAAATAAAATAAAGAAAATCATAAATTATTAATCATAATAGGTATAGCAAAATATTATATATATTATATTTTCATAGTAAATCAACAGGTTAATTTAAAATATATGATCGGATCTAAATATCAACAATGGTTATAAGATGGTTAGATGATCTGATACAACATTTAATCAGTAATAAAGTAAATAAATCATTTTTAAAAGTAAATCTACACTAAAAATTTATAGTAAATATAAGTTATGAGAAATTTAACTTGTTTCCAAATTTAAATGCAAATTAATAAAGTAACAAGTGTTAACAAATATAGTGGAGGGGTGTGTTTAAAAGGAAATTGATTATATAAATGATTAGACAAATGTAAGGTACAAATGACAAGTTATTATAGTTAACTATTAAGACAATATATGAAACACATTCATACTATAAAGACTCCAACATTAAAAAAAATAAAGAATGATTGTATTTAATACATCAGTCAAGACTTACTTCCATGAGTACATGATGTACCTTTTTGAGATATTCTTCATCATCTTCATAGTCATCAATTAACTCATCAGACAGATCATTGCTATGGCCGATCTAGAATGAAAAACAAACAAACACCTTGTGAAACCCATTAATACCATGATAGATTGATGTCAATTGCTCGCTTAACAGCAATGAAACAATCATACAATGTCCGTACTTGCACAGCGGCGTTAATAAAAACTTTCCAATCAAGTTTTGGTATGATCTTCTTCACAAACTCCTTATTGAATTCAGATTCGGATATCTTGACGTCTTTCGCCTGTCAAAAAACAATGTGTAGAACACACAATATTGCAATAGGGAGACAACGGTAGTAAATCAATGAGGATAACAGGGAATTAGAACAACAATGAAATCACTCACGACAATGCGAAGCGGATATCCTACTTTGACTCCTTTCAGACTCTTGGACGATAGCAAATTGTGCGTCAACAGTTTCATGGCTGGTGATCACGCGATGTGAACAATGGCGTATCGCAAAAATTAATTATTGATCGACAGCTGGACAGACCACGTGAAACCGCAGAGCATGGCTGGAATATGTGAATTGTGAATATGACTGAAAAAAGTAAAATAAACAACAAAACACAATCAGGGCCCAAAAACGGCGGCCACGGGCATTAGGTACGAAGCCGGTTGGTGTGCTCGGTCGCGGTAGTCGTGCGGTACCATAAATTATTTCTTATCTAATATCACAGAATATTAATATTCACAAATTTTTAATAACAATACACGTCTAGGTGATGCATATAAAACGTGTCTATACTCATGACAAAATATTTTGTCATGTTTATTGTCTAAACTCATTATTTCCGAAAATTTTAATTTTTAATGATTTGATAAATACACTATTTTTTTCTATTTTCTGAGTATTTTGCTTTTTTCTATGATATCTACCATACATTTTTTTTCCTATGCCGAACCTGACTATTTTAATGTTAAAGAGATAAAATTTCCTAGTACGTTAAGGTTACATCTTTTAAAAAGAAGTAAACATTTTTTTTTTCAATGTTGTTTTGAAATAACATTTATGTAAAAACAATTATATTTTCAAACAATTTAAAACTTCTCAAAATAATAAGTGTACTGTGTAGACCTTGGATGGATCACTCTGCACATAAATTGAATGCAATCAATATCGTAGACCTTACACCCAACCAAGTTTATAGGTGTATGCATAATGTATATTGTGACATTGTGTTAAATATTATCATTCATCATAGACCGATATACAGTATACAATAATATACAATATTATTATTGTTCTGTGATATTATTATTTACACTAATAAACAGAATATTGTATCACCTAGTGCGCATGTCCGCTGAACTTTTTTTTTTTCGTGCGGAACTACATCCGCTAGCTAAGCTACAAGATTTTCAAGGAAGAATTTGGAGTGTATCGATACGTATCGACTATCGAGGCAATTTTGAGCGTTCAAGAAGTTACACGTGCAGTATACAAGCGATACGTACCGACCCGTATCGGACTCGGACTTCGATACGAGGTGGTACGTATCGATACGTATCGAATTTTTCTTCTTGAAAATTTTGCTAGCTTACTTATACATGGTTCCTCCGTCTCTTTTACTATGGTGTATTTTTCCTCAGTCTATTCCGTGAAAATATGATGTCTTAGGGGGTGGTAACTATATTATGGTTACAACTAGGTCGCCAATATAGTTTACAAGCTGTAGTCAATTTTTGGTATAGTGGGCTTCAACTTTACGCGATATCAAAAAAGTGATGTCCAATCACAATACGTCAATTTGATCGACGACGCGACGTCGTAGCTGTGAATCCCGGCTACTAGATAGTCCATTTTAAATCGTTTGCACGGACCACGGTCTTAGAATAATAATTGTATATGATCCAAGCCCCATTGTTTCTAGAGGTACATGACGTGTAGTGCCTGGGGGGCTAGAGCAATCTGTGTTAAGAATTAAATATTAGAAATTAAAATTAGGTAAGAACAAACCAGTCGCATAACTCAGATGGCACGTGTAAAAAATATACTAGTCGTGCTAGGTTACTCAAAACTATAATATACCTATTGGCGATAAAACTCTTGTCAATTTTTGGGGCCGCGGGAAATGGGCTGTGACGGGGATTCGAAGACAAATAACATAATATTTTGCATTTAAACGGAGGCTTACAGCCCGTTACAGCTTTACTGCTTATCGCTTTCTATCGCAAATTATAATTTCAAAAATAAATTATTATTATTTTAGTACGTTGTCAATAGACTCAACCAGAATGCGCTAGTAACGACACCTGTATAAAAACAACGTCCGTGGTAGATAGTGTGTAGTGTGTACCACAGAACATATTTTGGTGATGATACCCATGATATAATAATGTAATGAACACACAACAGCTACAGCATATTTTAAAATAAAAGTTTTTTTTACAGATAATAAGTTCTTTTGATTTTACAATATCAGGTGTTAATCTTATAAATCGTATTTTATTTAGTACCAAGTAAACTGTAGGTCGCTTATAAGGAAAAATAGGCCTGTAAGTGTTCAATTTTGCACGCTCTCATGCATGCAATTATATTATATTTGTATAATAATCACTACATTGTAACATTGTACTCTTACCTGATCCCCTACTATACATACCTTTTTCAAAATTAACATTTTTTATAGATGAACCCCGTGTTATTTGATTTAACCATTTATTCCTCAGATTTACATCTTTAGGAAACCTATGTAAGTGTACATTTTTGGGTTTAACTAAATTTTTTTGCTTGCTGCCGCTCATACAGCCTTCAAATACACAAACTGGCATTATAAATTATAATTTAGTAAATATTTAATAGCAGAAGTACTTATTAAAATTTATTAAATCAAAAATTGAATATTTTTAATGTGATAATTTAATCATGATTAAATTCCAAAACAAAAAATACCGCCAAAAAAGTTTGATATTATGATAATATTTAAACCAATGAAAATTGGCGAAAGACCAGCGCCATATTTGCGCAACAGAAAACATAAATACGTCCGCTGATATCATACCTAGTTTATTATATCATGATGATACCGTAGTACTATAGATTGTTGTGTAGTAAATAAGGAACTTACCGTTTACTTTTAAATTTAAATATTCTGTCTACAGACATAATTTGTTAATTATTTCGAGCTCTTGCTGAACGAACTTGCTTCCATATGTCGGGCTACGATTCCCGGAGTGATGGACCCGGTTTTGTCGGAATTAGATTCTGTCAAGAATGGTAATAAATATCATACTAGTTAATTTTATAAAGTTGCTTAGTTTTGTTTAATTTTTGATCGGACTTATTCGGACCACAGTGTTGAAGTACTAATTTTTTAATTTTAAAGTCGAAACAGCAAGTTGCGATCGATAATTTAAATTGTTAAGGAGTGCAAACGACAAATATATATAAAAATACTGACTAATTTTTGTGTTGTTTGTTTTCCAGTAACAACATGCTGTATCCCAAAGAAGACAAAGAACATAAAGTTCTGTTGTACGCTGTGAGTAAAATATAAATATTATTTTTGGTTAATGTATTTTTTTTTCAAATAATTACCACATGCCAAAATTGTTTGGTCGTGTAAAAAGTAGACTAGATTTCTACATTAATTTTGTGAGTTACTTAAGTTATTGATGATTCATGTGTACATTTAAGTATTAAGTATATAAGGTGTTCAATGTTTCAGTGTCGAAATTGTGATCACAGACAAATGGCAGACAGCAATTGCATTTATGTAAACAAAATTATGCACGAAATCAAGTAATTTAAAATGTCTATCCAAACTGACTTTGTAACTTAATTGACAGATTTATTTTTTTTTTGGCATTTAGTGAACTTACACATATTGTTTCCGATGTAACGTCTGATCCAACTTTACCCAGGTCTGAAGATCATCCCTGTCCAAAATGTAAACATCGTGAATCAGTATTTTTCCAAGCTCAAACTAGACGTGCAGAGGTAAACGTTATAGGTACTATACTTTGTTCAGAATAAGAACATATTGGACGGTAAACAAAATGTGGTTCTAGTTAGCTTCAAGTTAGTTCTAGTTTGCGCATCCTCCCCATTCCACAGACCATTTCTGTTGACACTGCTCGTCATGCTGTATGCGTTTTTAATCTGAACAGAGTATAGGTATTTTATTTTAATTAAATCTTAATTTGGATATTTTTTTTTTTTCCAGGAGGAAATGAGATTGTATTATGTATGTACCAATCCTCATTGCATACATCGCTGGACTGAGTCTTCTATTTAATTATTATACAATGTATGGTTTTATTTATTCATTTAAAGACAATATTTATAATTGAAATTATAAAAAATAAAATATAGGTATTTTTTAATCATACACTTTATTATGAACAATGGAAAATAAACTATTAATTAACAATATCACATTCAATTTATTTCTTTCATTAAACATTTTTGAGCAGCGTTACAAATTTTCTCATCTAATTTAACTGAAAAAAAAAAAATTAAAACAATAGAATATTCTACAGTTTATTTTAAACGCTTACAAATTTTATGTTGTCCTTTAATCGGAAAATGATTTGACATCATGATTGGATCTTCACATATAAACATAAACGGACTTTCATTTTCTCCTTGAGGAAATTTTGAAATGTATTCTTCTTGGGACAAACAATCAACTACATTCACACAGCCTAACAAACATCCAGTAGGATATCGTTTTGGAAATTCAACATCTAAACACAAGGCAGAGATAATAAAAAAATATATGGTATTTTATGTGATTAAGCATAGTTTACATTTTAAAAATAAAAAGAACAAATTCTCATGTTTTTTTTTTTTAATAGATACTTATTCAGGATCTTCATAAATTGTTTTTATTGAAATTAAAAAAAACCAATTGTTATATAAAAAAACTAGTAAATTAGTTGTAATTCATGAAGTTATTCATCATAAACTTGAAAATTCTCACTGTATTTTTGATATTTTTTTAATTGCTAAAGTTATGAGGAGCCCCTATAACTCCCAAATGTGCTCTTACCTCCTTTTAAATGTTTATAAAACGTCTCAATTCGTTCTATATCCTCTTGACTAGGTTTTTTAGCTGTTGATGCAATCCAAAGTCTTCCACGATATGGTGTAAACCATGTACGGCCTTCATGACTAAAATTAAAGAAAATAAAAAATGTTTACTAGTTAGTAGTGTAAAGAAACTAGAAAGTGCCATTTAAGTTAACTCATTAATTATAATATAATATATTGTATGCAGGAATATTAAAATAACTTATAAAACATATTTAAATTTTTTATATAGCGAGTAAGTTTATTTTTAGTGAAGGTTATTATAGCCAATTAATGATTGTGGAACTAAAATTCTATAGATACTTAAAAATAAAAATTTTGCAAAATATGTTTGTTTAAATAAAAAATTATACACATAGTACAAACATTATTAAGGGATTTTTAGCAATTAAAGTTGTCATTTCTAATTATTTTAAAAGAAATATGTTATAAATTCTCATCACAAGAAGATATTTTAACTACCTTTTAATGTTAAGTAACAAGAGAGATGCATATGGCTGATGCATGCTTAAACAAAAACCTGGATCGGCAATTGACATTTGCTCACCATCTTGTACCCTGCTGAATCCTGGATTATTTTGTTCAAGAGTTTTGTTAGGATCAGTGGTGTGTTTTTTAATTTTTTGTATAGCCTTATCATCGAACTGAAAGAATCAAATGCTTTTAAATTATACACCAAATGTATTCAATTAATATACAAAAGCGAATCAAGATTTTCAAGAAGAAAAATTCGATACGTATCGATACGAAATAGTTATGTACCACCTCGTATCGGAGTTCGAGTCTGATACGGGTCAGTACGTATAGCTTGTATATTGCACGTGTAACATCTTGAACGCTCAAAATTGACCCGATACGTACCGATACACTCCAAATTCTTTCTTGAAAATCTTGTATAAGTATAACTATTTAATACCTTTATATCAATTTTTATCAAAGGATTGTTAAGATGTTCATTGATCATAGTTGGAAGCATCTCTTCACCATCAGACACTACATCATTATCATCTTCAATATCGGATTCATTGTCTTCATAGACTTGTCTACCTGTTAGTATACAAAATAACTGTTATTTTTATCCCTATCTTATTAACAATCCATTCATTATAAATTATAATATACCGGCAAAATCAATAGTGATTTTTTTTGTTTTTCTTGACCCGTGTTTTTTTTCTTGACGTTCTTCTTCCTTCTTTTGTAACTGTTCTCTTTGCTTCGATGATAACCAACCACTATTAACTGAATAATAGTCCATTTGATCATCTATTACATTAGTACGCTTAGCACTGTATAACAATATAAATAATAAATATTTGTTTTTACTAAAACCTAGTTATTATACTGTTTATAACTTTTGAAAACAATAAGTAATATATTTTAAAAACTAATTAATAACACTGATGTTTCTAACCTAGTACGATCAAATTCTAGTAGTTTATTACGATGTTCAAGAGCTTTATTATCTGCGGCCGCCGTAATAGTTTGTTCAATTAATTGGTTATACAATTGTTTGGATTTATTATTATTGCAGTTCAACAAAAGTTTCTCATCGTTCGAACATACCTATCACATATTTATAAATGATTTTATTTCAAAACAAATGTTGACATTTTTTTAATAATCTCATACCAATTTACCACATATAACACATGGACCAGATCCTTCTTGTTTGCATACAACTCTACCGCATTCTAAACAGTTATTTACTAAACCATGCCTAGATGCTTGACAATTACACTTATGACGACCTTAACGACAAATTCAAAATTTAATAAATATTTAACTATATGAAGATACATTTTTACCTTTTAAAAACACCTCTTGTCGATTAAGACCTTCATCTGTATAAATGTTGACATATTTTTTATTTTTTGGTTTAGATTCTTTTTTCTGTAAATATAACCAATGTATTCCAACACATGAAAATGCGTAACACATAAAATAACAATAATTCTTAAAAGCACAAGCAAATAACCCAGTTGTAACAATAATAATATAAACAAACATATCTTAAATAACATTAGGAAAGGAAACAAAAATAAAAAATGTACCTAACACATGGTTCTACATTGACAATCCACATCATCCTTAATCCTTACTAGGGAACAATTAGCGGCATAGTGGCTAATGAATAGAATATACTGGTACAGAGAAAAGATACATAATTGAGAAGAAAAATAAAGAACCTTCAAATTAGTTAAGAAAACAAGAGACAGATAATCCAATATAACCCAAATTGGCTTAAACTCTACTGTCAGCAAGCAAGGAAAATTTTAAAAATAAAAGAATAAACCATGGATTAAGTGATTTACTTAAGAATGAAATCGCATGAAACTTAGGTTTTAAGATTATTTCATGATTAATCAATTAAATCACTGTATTGAAAAAGATAGTATCTATTTCACTTAGTTTAAGTACTCAATACTATTAAACCTATTAATGACATTTTCTAAAAGCAACAAATTATAAATATTTTTATTTCTACCAAAATACAAAGTACTTAATAATAATATATTAAATAATTTTCAATAAATGTACCTTTTGATTGCTAGTTGTGTTTGGTTTTTGTGAATCTTCTTTTACAGAAGATTTTGAATTTTGCTTAGGAGGGCGTGTATTCTGAACACTAGATGTTGGTTTTTGGTTTACTAAATGAAGCATTCAAGTAGAATTTAATGGACAAATAATAAACAGCAAAATATAAAAATAAACTTACAAGTTCTATGTTTTTTTTTTAAATCTATTAAAAATTGTTTATGAACTTGAGATTTAATATCTAATAACGAATGACAGTATTCATCAAGGTCTTGTTCTGACTGCATGGAAATTATGTATCTGAAAGCAAATAATATATATATAACTGTATAGTCTGACAAAATTTAGTTTCTAAAAGAACACAAAAATTAGAATACATACTCAGCCATGTCACTTTGTACTTCAAACTGTAGTAAAGCAGTAAGTTTATCACAAATCCACTGAGTAAACTCTTGTTTGGACATCATTATTGAAGACTAACAAATTAAAGCACAATAGTAAAGTAAATAATTTTAGTAAATAAATACAAATTACAGTTAAAAATTATAAGTTTAAAGTTTTAACCGTAGACTTATTAGTTATAATATTATGTACTGAGTTTCCCCCAACCCCTACCATAATTTGTTGCCATGTGCCAACATTGATAAAAAGAGATAGTCAAGTCAATACTCAATACCCGTCATATTACTCAAATTATATAATGGAAACCGACTACCTAAGGTGTATGCTATCTTTTTCTAAAAAAGTTGTTATCTTTGCGGTCGAATTATATTTTCTCTCTCCCATGCTATCGTTATCTACACCCCTATGGTTGCCCATCGGTTTAAAATCGAAAACCAAGGTGGATATCCACCTTGCTTTCACCCTTGGTTGCACCATGGATATCTTGCGAATTTTCGGACCATTGAAGTTCACCTTACAAATTTACAAGTTTACTTTACAACCATGGTAATACATCAAATAGGTATGTCAGCGATATACCGGTTTTGGAACAATTCGCGCCGTGTTCTGTGACGTAGAATTTTGCCGTTTCTCATTGGTCTTCTACCGATGATTACTCCACCGCCACTCGATCGCCCAACCATTTGGCGAAATGGCACGTCACTGACATGCGTACCATAAGTTACTGACATACCTTTTTATTTATTCACTTATTTATTTATCATGTTTACAAATTGTCACGACTCTACTTTTATAAAAGAGGGCAAGTGGATGTCACTCTGCCAGTGGAGTATTTTGTGTGATTTATCGGGGGACGACCAACATTTAATACACCAAACAAACAAAATTTTTAGAATTATTTACTGATGCAAAAAAAAAATATTGAACTTACTATTTTTCAAATTACCTATGTTAGAAATTGCCAAGTAATTTTATATTTGAAACAGTACTTATAATAAGGTATACTTAAACATTTTTTTTTAATACCGATGGACTTGAGTCTTGATTACTTGATTACTAGAGCATAAACATTCGTTAAGTATTTACAAAATGTCATTGTTGTTATTCGTTATCTGTATAGGTTTAAATTAGGTTGAGGTTTACTTATTTATTAATTTATTATAAAACTGTGAATACCTATAATAGGTACTTAAAAAAAAAAATTTTATTTAAAAATCATTTATTGTTTTGGATTTTGAATATAAGTTCACAATTATTCATTGCTATTATATTTTCGCTGTTGGTATTTTTATAATCTTAGTAACTCTCGGTGGAATTCAAATAATTTCTGGTATAATAATTACTATTCACTTCTCTGCTACACTGCTGCAATAATAATATTACTTACCTAGTATATTTGATAATATTATTGTGATTTAAGTAATTTATTTTACTATTAGGCATTAGTACTACAGCAGATTAAATTAATTTTTGTCAAAAATATTGCGTTTGCAAATGCCATTATTATGCGTATATTTGAGCTATATTGTATACACAGTAAAATAATT